AACATTCGTCCTTGAGGCTCTACCTCTTAAATTATATGAATGAGTTATAAAAATGAAGTTATACAAATGGCAAGTTATATAAATGCAGTTATCTTAAATGATGGCTCACACATTATCATCTCCAAATTCACGAAAATCCGTCGATTTAAAGCGAGAAAAATCACAACTTCCCGCGGAAACGGTTTTATACTTCACACTTCCGTTCCAAGAACAGTGGGCGGTTTCCAAAGCGTGCTCAGCCCTTTCAGCGTTCACTTTTCTCAGCTGTGGTCGAATTTTCTCCAAATTTCATCATTCCCACCGAAAAAAATCGAAACATTCCCCTCGGCATAAAAAGTGAAGCGGCGCCAGGCCGAAAATTACTCCGCCTTTTTCTCTTTCTCAATTACGAGAAAGAATTTTTTGACTGCCGAGAATTCTCAGCATGCTTGCAATAGCAATAAATTCCTTTACGGACGACTGAGAACTTTCGATTTTGGGTCGATCTGGCTTGTTATCTCTCATTAAAAATGACTTATCCCCAGCACTTGTGCGCTTCATTCAGCACAAAAAACATCCGTAAAAAGAAAATTGCTCATATGAAGGAAGAATTCCATTACCGTAAATAGTTGAAGACTTTCAATTACGCGTAAAATCAGAAGAAAATGGTAAAGGTGTTCGCGCAACGTTACAGGTAATCAGTAGAGACCTCTTATGCAAGAAATGAGAACCATTTCGTAAGCTAGAACGATAATTCATTGATAAAATTAATTTCATTTGAAAAGCGGGATCGATGAACAGTGGAGGAAGGGAGTAAATTAACAATAACAATGCTTGATTCGTGGGTTTATGGGTACTTGTGCTACGATTTGTTGGAGCAACAATTGAAACTCCAATCCGTGCTCTGAGGTAAAGTGCGAAATTTTTCCAGCTGAACACACGCTCACAATCAACTGTTCGCGCAAAAAAGTATTCAAATTCGCTTTAATGCATTATTGCAGAAGAACCGGTTCTTAGTTCGCTCCAGCAATGGATGGAACAAATTAAAACTTGTTTCTTTCCTGTTTCAATCACACCATGCGAATGGAATAGATGCGGTACTACATATGCACATTTATAACTTTCAGCCCATCGAAGATCTTCGTAAAAGAAAATACCCCAACGTCGTTTGAACAGAGAAGCTCTTGACGTTGGGCGTATTTCGACCCAAGTGACATTTTGTACCAGGACCCGCGACGGCCACACGGCTCAAGTGACCAGCACGTGCCTATCCATTCGGAAAGGCAATTTGCGGAACGCATCGTCGTAATTAAGGGTACAAAGGAAGAATTCAGTCACCTTCTTTTTCCACCGTTTGACGGCGAAAAACGACGCCCGGTCCGTCGTGGAGAAAGCCAGGACACACGCCTGTGCACCCCGATAGTACGCCTTGGTGATGGCGTCGAACTCTTCCTGACCAGCCGTGTCCCACAGCATCAGTCTCACTTCCTCTCCATCAATGCTATAAAAAATAAAATAAAATAAAAATACAGTATTTTACTCGAGTACTAGCATGCGTGTTGGAGTAAGACACAGCCTCGGATTTATTTTTACATCGAATTTGGGAGAATATCTTATCGGTGTAAAATACGCGCACCGCTCCTTTTAGTTGCCAAAATTTATACTGTAATGTTTCAAAAATACTTGATTTTCCTTCAAAAGTAATAGAAATACAAGTTTTCCAGAAACTTCAGTAATTTTCCAATGAGCATTGCTGTGATTTATGCATTACTCCTTCAGAAAATTGATTTTTCTGCATCAATTTATTCAAATTTTTAAATCAGGTCTAATTTAAAAAAAAATGAAGATGGTCATTTTGTTTTCTTCTTACCAATACAAGATCCTTGACAGGAAATGTAATTGTACCCCAATGTTGGCGTTGTATTGAAGTCAAAACAGATACAAAACAACACTTTTGTTTCATCACAAATGCTGGCGGATGGCGGTTGGCGTCTTATCAATGTTTTCTATTGCATTTAGTTTCAAGGATATTTGTTTCATTCAAAATGTTGGCGTTTGCAGAGGGTGGCGCTTTATTGGGGTTGTCATAAGGGGGTTTGACTATATTTGAAAAACTGTGCTGGGTTATAAGGAGCTAAAATGAAGCGCAATTCAAAATTGAATCCAATCGGCGAATTTTTGTTTTCATGCATAAGTACAGTACTGCAATACTGCTGTTATCACAGAGAACTCTAAATAATATGCTTGAAAGTGGTGAGAAAAGTTCAAATTCTTACAACATGTCACTTACAATTTTGTACCCTAGTATGACGCAAACCTCGTTTGTTGTACCTTTAATTATTGAAAAAGATGAATGTTGTGAAATGAAAAATTCATCCTTGTCATTACAAGGCAGCTCATGTTAATTGAATACTCAAACCATGAATTCATCCTTTTCAGCCAATCAAGTGCAGCAGCGCAGATTCCTGGAAGGGAGAGAGTGAAAATCATAGAACTCCATCTTCCAACATTTTGATATTCCTATTCCTGACACAGTCTGATGCCAGTTATTGTTCAAATCCGTTCTGATATTCTTATTGTGTGCGTTTGGTGAATGAATTATGGTGAAAAAGTGAATAAATTTACTGTATCTGTTTATCTTTTTGGGATTTCTTACTGAACCCCACAGCTGAATGATGCGTCCTATTTTTGGAATTGATCCTTTTCTTGCCTTCTTTTGTAATCCTCATTTACAGGTGCTGTATCATAAAGTCGCATATGCTAATTGAAATGAAAATTTTCTTTCCTTGAAACGGCTGAAGACAGGTAAAAAAATTCCTCAAGTGACGGTATTCGACATTCGTTTCGTCGCAGTTTCGCCAACTTCGAAAGGAATCGCCTCTCAAAACATAAGTCGAAGAGAATTATTGAGACGAGCTGAAAATTGCGTTGAAACATGTATTTCTATCAAGGATTGATCAAGGTGAGTATCAAGAGCTGCTTACCACCTTTCAATTGTTTGCTGAAGGCATGCCTAAAGGCCTAAAGTCGATGTTGGAGTACATCACAGTACTTGTTTCTACTCTTGAACAAATAATGAGATTATCTTCATCCTTAGATACTGATGATCAAACAGCATATTACAGCTCATTCACACGTTGGTTATTATCCGATTGTCCCCGTTCCACTGGGTGAGGCAAAAGAAAATACCTCAGAAAAAGTCTTCGAATTATGCCCGGAAAAATTGCCTATACTGACTTCTTGAGCGAATAAAAATAGAAGAGAACCTTCATAAAATATATACAAAATTCTTTAGATGAAGCTTGGAAGGACATAACAGTTTGGCTGAATTAACTACTTTCGAAAGCCTATACGGTTCAACGTCGCCATTTGAAGGCCACACAAAGCCTTTTACCTTAAATCATCGTCCTAAAAATTTTCAATGTCTCAAGCGGGCTTTATTTACTAGGAAGTATCAAGGAACCTTCACGTCTTATGAATTGTACCGTGCATAGATGAAAGAATACAAATATTTGTAAAGCTCCTTCGAATGTTAACATTCTGGAAGAAACGGTACGGCACTTCTTTTATCTATTCAAGTTTTGCTTCCTGTTATTCTGCCTAAAGCCAAGTCAGCACACATATTTGCAAACGTTATCACTTAGTCAATAGTAGATGCAGAACGACTCCGAGACCACGTCCCGTTGAGCTTCGGGATAAAATGCCGAAAAGTTAAACCAGGTGGGAAATTCCAAGCTACTCAGCAGATCGAAATCCAAAGTCAGCAGAGTTTAAAGTAAAGAAGAAAATTAAAATTATTTGAGAAGACATTTTGCCTATCGCTGATATTCCCGGCTGACCTAAAAGTAAAAATTCCTTCTATTGTTCTTCTCTGTATACTTCCTCGCTTCATATCGTCCACTACAGTTCTTGGATTCTGGGTTTTTAACGTTTTGATTTTAATCTGAAAGAGACAGAAAAAAGCCTGCAAAACCGAGGGAAATCGAACGAGACCTAGAAAGAGACTGGTGATGCAACACTTGATGCAACGTGTTGCAATATCGATTTTTCGCCAGCATTATCAGAGCCGAATACAGAAGCCCTTGGAAGTGCTACTGCGAAGCCCTGTTTAAGTACTTCGTTCAAAACCATCTCAACTTCACCAAAAAAAGTATAATATTTTCCTACAGCGGAAAACGTATTATTCAGACGAGCCAACTGATGATGACGAATAAAAAGAATTCTGCACATTTTCAAGTTCGGCACAAGACGAGTTTTAAACAAAGAAGTCAATCACTTACAGATCAAAAGATTCGCAAATAAGCTGCCTCTATAAAATGAGAGTACAGTATGGCAAAGAAAACAGGTGAAACTGTGCACACATTTGTAAGCAGAAACTTCTTCTTCGGAGTCGACAAAATCTCGACAACAATATTCTGAGATATGTTCGGAGTGAGCAATTTCTTTTCTGAAATAACAATTCAGATGACTAGACGCAATTTTGCTCAAGTCTGGAAAAACTTCGCAAAGAAGATGACCGATTTTCCGAGATTTCGACAAGAGTTCACTCACTCGATGCACCGTTCCAGGAAATCCACGCCAATCGTCTTTTTATAGTCCTTCGTGAAAGTGCCTCTGCAGTATCGCTGAATCATGCTCGATTTCCCGACTGCGCCATTTCCGACGATCAGCACCTGCAAATTTAAAAAACAAAAAAGAGAAAATTGTGCAGTCTGCTGAAGAACCGCCGAGTCCACATCCGCAATAAATTTCGCATCCAACATTCAAAAGCCATCGACGTTAGCAAACCTAAGTGAGTGAATGTTCGCTCACACTCATTAAAGAGGCATCTGAGCCTCAACAAATTCATTATCCCTGAAATTCGAATGCTCACTCTGTAGGTTGAAAAATGCATCTGAAATTTTTTTCGGAGCATTTACGCCTGGGAAATGATGATCATAATATGCAAAATGTTGATGCAACCGATATTTCTGACACACGAGGAGGGTTCTAGTAAGAACCTATAGGAAGTTCTGAATTCCCTGCATGAAGTAAAGAAAATATTCATATCTTTCATAGCAATTTGATTCATGATACTCGGAATCGTGCGGAACGAAGGCATTGAGAAAGGAATTTTCGATCCACTTCGCAACCAAATATACGCGAATTTGCGATGCATAACAATAACAAATGGCAACGAAACACCACGACATGGCATCCTTAAAAATTATTGCTGGTCACTGTCAACAAAGCCACGAGCAGAATAAATACCATGTCCCTCGCCTGTTGCTTTAATGAGTAAGATATCCAGTGGTTTTCTCCTCATGAGAAAATTATAGCCTCGTCAGGCCATTACCCCGTGTTCCTCGATTCAGATTCAAAAAAGGATACTGTATACATTACAATAGTGTAGTAGCAGCAGAGAAGTCGATAAAAATCTGGTACTAACGAACCGATTAAGGGAATGAGGAAGTGCTCACCTTGACTGCAAGTTCGAGGTCTTCCAGTTCCCTCATTTCGTCCCGTTGCTTTCTCCAGTATAAAAATAAATAAACAAATAACCAGATAATTGACAGGACACCGGTTGGTTCGAGCAGGTCTTCTGTTAGCGTCTACAGGTTTCCACTTTCTCCCAGGGAGTGGAAAGGAAAGATAAGCAGCAGGAGCAGCAGCAAATGTCCGTGTCCTCAAGTCGAAGGAATTGACTCCAACTTGCACTTGAAAACTAGCCACTGTCCGGCTCTTACGCCACCACCACCATCACCAAGAGCACCTGGGAATCACTACCGTGGGTTTCGTTGACGCGTGGGAACAAAAAACGTTTTTCCGGCGACGATTTTCTCGCGCGTTTTCTGCACGAATGACGGAAGATACACATCCGAAACACGTTTAGACTCGCTCCGGTACTTTGTTACGTATACAGTAGCCAGGTAATCGTACAGCGAGTCATCGAATGTAACAAGTTCACGTTCTCGTGGGAAGATGCGTTCAGCAATATTCTTAGAGAACTACGGAAGGGGCCCCGAGATACGGACATAATTAGTGCTTGTGCCTTGCCCCTATATGTCGGAGCATCTTCATGTTGGATCGTTTTTTTTTTATCATAGACTTCAATGGGAACATATATAATTGCTTCTCTGCCTGTTCATCAAAAGTTAGGAATAAAGTCCAAAAAAATTGAATGAAATCTTTCAATTTCAACATACAGAAAATGAAAAAACAGTCTCTTGAAGAAAATCACTCAGAATCTGATTTTTGACAACAGAATAAGGAGTGCAGGAATCAAGCAACAAAATCAAGTCTAGCTATACTGCACAAACCTCAAGGGAAAACTCTGTGTGTAAGAACTTCCTTTTATAAGGGGACATAAACTAAAACTTATTCTCATTAGACTAAAAATTTAAAAAGACTACAATTTTAATTAACGAGCTAAGCAAGTTCTATGTCCACCACGGAACGTTTAACTTTTGACACAAATTTATCCATTCTGCAATTTTGCAATCAAATTTGCTGGTGGGTTGACTCCTGATTCAACCTCTGTCCTGAAACTTGACCCACAAAAAAATGCATAATGTCAAACAATGTAGAAAACAGTGCATTTGACATTGTCTTGCAATTTCACCCTAGTCAAGCAGATCAGGGTCAAATAGAAGGGCACCATCTGTACATTAGAATTCAGAAAAATTCTACATCAAAATTTTCCTTTTCTCTATAAACGTTCAAAAAGCATCCAAATCTTGAGGCATCGTCCGGATGTCGGGGCAGACTTTTTTTTTGGTTTCAAGTGCCCCTAAATCAAATCATCAGTATGTCGGGGACACACTTGATTTCAAGTAATGCTGGAATAATAATAGCAAAATTCACCAGCGCAAACCGCATTTCACTCGAAAAAAAACCGCGGAAGTTGTTTTATGAGTAATTCTTTCAAGGTTCCAACGACAATATCAAACGAAGCACAAATTCGTCACTGATTCCCGACTAAAACACCAAGAGATTCTAATCACCTCTGACAGCCATTCCTGGGCTTCCGTTCGTCACGTGCTTCTTATTAGGCCACCAACATTTCCGGGGAAATGGGTTCCAAACAAGTCTCAGGGGTGAATAGGTTACTGCAATATTACCGAAACATCTGCAGATCTGGTTAGTTAACCGATCCTGTATCAGTTTTTTCTTTGCATTTCGACGTTTACTTTCTTTTTTTAATTTCCTACTTCCTTCTGAGCTCCAGTTGGAAGGCAGAAAGTAAAACGTGGTACGTGTAGGGAACAACTGTAAAATCAACTCATCAGCGTAAAGAGAAATGGCAGCTCAACAGCTGACATTTGAGGTTCATTTTCGTATATCCTTCAGTAGCCCTGTTAAAATATTTTTAATATTTTTGCTTGGCATTTGTTTGTCTTCAGGATAACGGAATGTTCTACAAGGTTCAATGCAGTAAATGAGTGAACTTTTTCGATATGCAGTAATAAAAGAATTCTAAATTGGAAAACTTTTATTTGTCTGGGTAACCGGGAGAGATAAACCAATTTCTCCGGTGTAAAAAATTACAAAGCAAGCGTTCAATGACGAGGATTGAAAGAGACATGCGGAAACTGAATCGTGAATATTGAATGATTGATTGAGAACGATAAGGGCTATCCCAGCATGCTTTGCTCCCGTTCTTGCATCTCCAGATAAAGATAATCATGAATCTCCACAAGGTTAAAATCAAACCTTTCGAGATGTTTTTATACACGTGTAGGGAATTTAGTTTCAGGTTATCGATTGCAACTACTGTAGTTTTGCATAAAGTGTTGCTCAAAACCAGGGAAAAAACTTGCCCTTGAAAATTATTATGATTTCTGACTTTGTGAGACGACTGCACTTATCTTGCTAGGAATACTGCTTGAAGTAAAAAAAAAAACATTTCATCGTGCGTAAATTTCACAATTTCCTCTAGGAGAGTGATTTACCTCAATTCGAATAAGTTTTCCATGTACCAGTAGATCAGTTAATAATGCAGGCTTAAAAGATTGCCTATGGCATTTATTATTTTAGCTGAGAGAAAACAAGATATCAGCATGAACTCATGGACTGTACATCAGAGGGAATCACAATTAGGAAAGGAAACTCATTTTTGAAGGGCGATAATTTAACGCCCCCCAATGCTAGAAATGACTAGAAGAAAGTATCTCATGCAATGTTAGGTCAAAGTTCAGTCAGTTAAATTTTCAAGGTTGCCAGATTTTATGACCAACTCTATCTGCATTGGTGCAACTGTTATGGCTTTCCCAGTACTAAAAAAATCTGCACAAAGAAGCAGCCACATGTTTTCTCAGCTTTGTGGTTTGATGACCAGTTATCCAAGTCCACTCATGGTCATTGGTTCATAGGGAACAAAAAGCAGTCAATTCCCCACCAAAACTTGTCTATAATTCTCCACAAAAAAATCCAATCAAACAAAATGTTCTGGACTTGTGCAAGCACATCATCCATACAGACATGTGGGTTAAATTCACACAAAAGGAGGCAGAAATTTGAAAATAAAACACATAATCAGCTGTGGGGTGCAGGTGGGGATTTCCTAACAAAATGTTCTGGACTTGTGCAAGCACATCATCCATACAGACATGTGGGTTAAATTCACACAAAAGGAGGCAGAAATTTGAAAATAAAACACATAATCAGCTGTGGGGTGCAGGTGGGGATTTCCCTTGTAAAATCCCCAAAAAAAACTGTACTTCAATTTTGAACCCCAAGAAATTCACACACTTCTTCACATGAAACCCAATTGATAAAAAAGATAACCTTCACAATCACAGACAAAAGCAACACAAATATCAAGTCTTTTCTTCTGCACACCTGATTTGTTAAGACCCTTGAAGGGTACAGATTAAAATCTCTAGTATTCAATTAATATGGCTGCCATCTAACAGCAGTCAGTGTGCAGGTACAGCAGTAGATTAAGGTACCAAATTATTCCATCACAAGACATATGCAGAAATGAATAGCACTGATGTCCGGACTGTATGGAATTTTGTGTCCACAGTCCACAAGTCCATACACTTCCAGGGAAAATGCTGCTTCATTGGCTGTGGGCAGACACAAAGTCTTGATAGATCCAAATGGAAATTTGTTGGCTTGAAACATTGTACACCGTATTCACTTCTGAAATTTAGTTCAGATGAGGATCAAAATCCTTTTAGACCAGGACATTAACATAATCAAAAAGTATAAATGGAAAAAATGTTGCAATCTTTTTCACAATCTGTTTCTTTTGCATTGTCATGTTACTTTTTGTTAAAGCTTTATCTGCCAACTGTCAGCATATACAAGGTTTGAAAAATTCCCAGAACATGAATATTTACAATTTTATGCAATCCTTCTACGTTTCTTGTAAAATAATGCTTGTTTTCCCAACTCAGAATCTTCCTAGGTCAAACTTTTTGGCGGTCCCTCAAAATTCGACTTCGCATTTCATTTTCAATGAGACGGAGCCATAAACGCAGTGAAATTTTCTGGATCAAGTAGAGAACAGAAATTCCGCATTAAACTCATCACAAGACATAATAGTTTCGAAATCTGTCTTTTTTTCATAGTCCACCATTTACGATGAAAGGCAACTTGCAATGACTCAGTCAGACTATAAAATTTGGGAGCGACGTAATAGCTGTTCACTGAATCAGAAGAGGAAGAACGTTTCAATCAAATTTATCATCATGCGGAGGGGAAATGAAATTTATTGCAAGCAGTTTTTCGATTCAATCAACGTCCAGATGAAATACCGCGCTATAAAAACCCTACCGACAGTGAATTAGTTAATCGCCACTCGTATCGCAAGGCTATCATTAATCCGGCATCTCTTCCGTTCTTTCATAACACTGCAAAGCTACCGGATTAATTGCTTCACGCACTTATTCCGCAAATTTTCGATATCGTCGCCGTGAAAAAGTAATGTTTATAATGAGATACTCGTATATGGTTCATGATGGTAATTCGTCGTATAATTGAGGCATTCGTCGATTGTTGGATGGGAGAATATGCGATGTGCAAAGGGCGGCTTCATCCCGGTTCACACCACACACGGCATCCGCATGAAGCACGCGTTGGCGCCGATCGCACGTGGAAACCGAGGAATAACGGCGCCTCTTTCCACAGATTTCTTTCTTGCTTCGTTCATTTTTTTGTTGCTGTTTGTTCATCTGTTTCGTTTCGTTCTCACTTACATGTCGGGTTTCTTCAGCCCACGGGCGGAACCCCGAAAGACTTTCTTCAAAGGGACGCACTTGCACGTTTCTTTACTCCCTTTTTCGCTAAACCTAAGTCTGGTGCCACTTTTGCAAAGGCAGCGGAGCGGGCACTCAAGACCAGTACATTCCACTCGAAACGGAAAGGGTCTTCGTTTTTTTTTTATTACGTTTCCCGATACACATTGAGGACCCGACATGCGTACTATTAGACTTGGGGAAGCTTGAAAACTCAAAAAATCTGTACGAACATCATCCAAATAATGTCTTGAAATGTGTTACTTCACCAACATTTCTGAATAAATTGAAAAAATTATTACTCAAAATTTTGAAACCTTTCGTATTACAAATTCAGCTTTCTTTATTCAAGAAAAATGAAAAGAAATGTTACAATAAATTCTACAATTCCGAATCCCAAATGAGTTAATTTTGAGCTTATCTTCTCATAGTTCTTCCCATCATCTGAACAGAGTATATAAAATTCTTATGGTTGTTTTTTTACCGCCTTTTCTCGCCAATTTGATGATTTTGTTCTCTACCGTTATTTAACATTTCTTGAAGTTTAAAAAAGTCATTTTATTCTAATTTTAAGCGGAACTTTTTCCAAATTTTCGACGAACAGGAGAAAAAAGTAACTATTTGTCTA